CCCCCCCCCCCGTTCTTTTTGGCTCTTCCCCTCCCCACTTTTCAGGTTCAGTGTCTCAAATGACCTGAAATACGATGCCGAGAGGGACCTGAAGGATATCAATGCGCCGAACCTCCCTGTCCATGCTTTAAACAAGGTACGTACAGGTGTTTTTTTTTCCTATATCCTTTCTTTTTGTCCCCCCCAACCCCCACCCCATGGGAAAAGCTGACCAGGAGCACTGAGAACTCAAGGCACAGGGGGGGTTCTGCCTTTGCCTATATTTATTCCTGTTTGTTTGTGATGGTTTCATTTAAGGAAATCAAAATAATCATGGGTTCTCTTTGTTTTGGATATTTTATTTGTATTTTGGTGCTGTTCTAAGCCTTTGAGAAGATCGTAGATTGGATGGCATTGCATAGTTATTGAGGGAAAGAGAGAAAAATGTCCTTCTCTTCTTTCTTCCTTCCTTCCTTCCTTCCTTCCTTCCTTCCTTCCTTCCTTCCTTCCTTCCTTCCTTCCTTCCTTCCTTCCTTCCTTCCCTTCTCTCCCTCCCTCCCTCCCTCCTTCCTTCTTTCACTCACTCATTCCTTTCCTCCCTTTCCTTCCCTTCTCTCCCTCCCCCTTCCTTCACTCACTCCTCCCCTCCCTTCCTTCCTTCCTTCCCTTCTCTCCTTCCCTCCTTCCTTCACTCACTCACTCCTTTCCTCCCTTTCCTTCTCTCCCTCCCTCCCTTCTTCCTTCACTCACTTACTCCTTTCCTCCCCTTCCTTCCTTCCTTCCTTCCTTCCTTCCTTCCTTCCTTCCTTCCTTCCTTCCTTCCTCCCTCCCTCCCTCCCTCCCTCCCTCCCTTCCTTCCTTCCTTCCTTCCCTCACTCACTCCTTTCCTCCCTTTCCTTCCCTTCTCTCCCTCCCTCCCTCCTTCCTTCACTCACTTACTCCTTTCCTCCCCTCCCTCCCTCCCTTCCTTCCTTCCTTCCTTCCTTCCTTCCTTCCTTCCTTCCTTCCTTCCTTCCCTTCTCTCCCTCCCTCCTTCCTTCACACTTGCTCCTTTCCTCTCCTTCCTTCCTTCCTTCCTTCCTTCCTTCCTTCCTTCCTTCCTTCCTTCCTTCCTTCCTTCCTTCCTTCCTTCCTTCCTTCCTTCCTTCCTCCCTTCTCTCCCTTCTCTCCCTCCCTCCTTCCTTCACTCACTTACTCCTTCCCTCCCCTTCCTTTCCCTCCCTCCTTCTCTTCCTCCCTCCCCCTTCTTCCTTTTTTCCTTCCTCCCTCCCTTCCTCCACTCCTTTCTTCCCTCCCTCCCTCCCTCCCTCCCTCCCTTTCAAATTCTGAGTGTTGATGTCCACACATCTTAAAGTTGCCAAGGTTGGCCTAGATTGTGCAGAGCTGCCTTTGATTTCTTTGCCCTGTCGGGAATGCTGGGAGTTATTTCGGGCACATAAATGCATCCCAGGTAAATTAACAGAGGTCCCTCCCGAGGGGAAATCACATATTTTGGTGTTTCCTTAGCTGAGGCAAATTTAAGGACCTCAACTCCCAGAATTCCCCAGCCAGACAAACACTGATATATTTAATACCGGGCCATGGGTGACCCAGGTCTGTGGGAACTTCTGCAAAAATGAATAGCTGAATCTTCCTTCTTCAGAGTCAGGCGCTTGGATTTAAAATCTTAAAATCTCACTCCGTGCAGGAAATGGTTTCTCAGCCGTGGCAATTTTAAGATGTATATCAAATACATCAACATTGTGAAAACCTCTCGTCTCTTTTTTTGCATTTTAAAAAATCTTTTCCTGCTGCAGATTAAATATGGTGACACGGCTACCTCGGAGGGGATTTTATTCGCCACTTATTCCGCCTTGATCGGAGAAAGCCAAGCGGGCGGCCAGCATAGGACCAGGTTGAACCAGATCCTGGATTGGTGCAAGGACGATTTTGATGGTGTTGTATCCTAACAGAAATAAACCAGCCGGCCTCTGTACATTTTGGGGCTTTGGGTTAATACAGAGACGGTGGGTAGCTTTCGACTTACAACCATTCATTTAGTGACTGTTCGGAGTTCCAACAGCACTGAAAAAAGTGGCCTGTGACCATTTTTCTCACTTAATGACCGTTGTAGCATCCACGCGGTCACATGATCAAAAGTCAGACGCTTAGCAACTGGCTCATATTTATGATGTGTCCCTTTTGCGACCGTCTGGCAAGCAAAGCCAATGGGGAAGTCAGATTCACTTAACAACCGGGCGACTAACTTAACAACTGAGGTGATGCACTTAACAAGCGTGGCAAGAAAGGGTGTAAAAATGGGACAAAGCTCACTTAACTGCCTCGCTTAGCAACAGAAATTTCGGGCTCAATTGTGGTCGTAAGTTAAGGACTATCTATATTTTGTCCCTCCTTTTAGCAGCCTACGGATTATAATTGTTGGATTTCTTGACTGCTTTAATTTTTCTTATTGCCCTGCAACCGGGGATCGTTTTCTCCCTCCCCAACTCAAATCGGGCTATTCTGGGTAGATCTTCATTTGTGTTCTTGTGGCTGCCATCTTGATTTTTTTTGACCCCACCTGCAGACCACCCTGCCCAGGGTCACAATGGACTCTCCCCTCCCTTGCCTTCAGAACTGTTTTTCCTTTGTCGTACACCCCACCCCCTCTGTCTGTCTACCAGGATCCCTCCGCCCTTTTAAAATTGTCTCCCCTTAACGAGCCTTCACACTCTCAGATTGTGTTCGACGAATGCCACAAAGCCAAAAATGCCAGCTCTACCAAGATGGGCAAAGCAGTATTGGACCTGCAGAAAAACCTGCCTCAAGCGAGGGTCGTCTACGCCAGTGCCACAGGTGAGCAATGTGCATTGCGCTGAGCACATTTGCAGGGAGGAGTCTATTAGCCAGAGAATCCACTCTGGGCAGTTCCAAATCAAGACGCATTGACACTTGGGGGGGGGGGGGGGTGGTGGTAGACTATTTCCGGACATTGAAGCTCCAGTCCCTACCAGGGCAGCATGAACCCAGCTGGAGAAGGCCAGCCTCATCCAGCATTTCGCTTCCATGCCAGCTTCCTTTTCTCCAAAGTTTGCGTAGCCAGGCTAGCTCTGAACATCTGTTTCTGGGGAACAAAGGATGTTGTCTATAGACTTCCCAGAAACTGTGACACATTTCTTTATTCTGGACCATGTGGGAGGGGTGTGGTTCTAAAAATGGTGAAAAGACAAAAGGGAAGGGTGGGAGAAAGGAAAATGGACCTGAAGTTAGGAGGGGGATAGACAGACAGACACAGACAGTAAGATTGATAGTAAAATTGATTGATAGTAAGATGGATGGATGGACGGGTAGATAGATAGCTGAATCTCAAAGATTAGATAGATAGATAGATAGATAGATAGATAGATAGATAGATAGATAGATAGATAGATAGATAGATAGATAGATAGATGGATGGATGTATGGATGGATGGATGGATGGATGGATGGATGGATGGATGGATGGATGGATGGATAGTAAGATAGATAGTAAGATTGTTATATAGTAAGATGGATGGATGGATGGATAGATAGATAGATAGATAGATAGATAGATAGATGGATAGATAGATACATAGATGATAGAATAGAAATACAGAACAGAATGATAGAATAGAAATAGAATAGAATAGATTATAGATACAGATAAGTAGATAGATGATAGAGGTAGGCAGACACAGACGAGAGTAGAGGAGTTTCTCAAACTCAGCAACTTTTTGTGGACTCCAACTTCCAGAATTCCTCAGTTAGCATGAGAATAGGTAGAAAGGATGTCCACACAGTTGCCAAGATTGAAAAATACTGGGAGGTAGAGAGGAGAGGGGATGGATGGAGCAGAGGGAGAGAAAGATGGACTGGTCCACTGAAACAATGCATCTAACAATTCCGTCTCCATCCCACCGGCCTGTTTTCTTCTTCGGCAGGTGCCTCTGAGCCAAAGAATATGATTTACATGAGTCGGCTGGGGATATGGGGAGAAGGCACCCCCTTTCGCTCCTTTGAGGACTTCCTCCATGCCATTGAAAAGAGGTAAAGCTCCATCTGGGTATCACACAACCCCAGAGTTGGAGGGGGGAGGGGTTCCTCTAGTTCAACCCCCTTGTTCAGTGCAGGATCTCTGGCAGATCACACACACACACACACACACACACACACACACACACACACCCTCTATTTAAAGACCTCTAGTGAAGGAGAAGTCCCTGAGTTCATGAGGCAGCCTGTTCCACTGGCCAACAGCTCCTCTTGATGTTTGGCCAGAATGGCCTCCTTTGTAGGTTAATGCCTCTGGAGCAGGGGTCCTCAAACTTGGCAACTTTAAGTCTTGTGGACTTCAACTCCCAGAATTTCTCAACCGTATAGCTGGTTGAGGAATTCTGAGAATTGAAGTCCAGAAGTCTTAAAGTTGCTATGTTTGGAGACCTCTGCTCTGGGGCATTAAAAATAAACCCAAACTGCATCTTCCACCTGACAATTTTTTTTAAAGATTTGAATGCTAAAGCTGACCCAAGTTCTCTTTTCAACCTGGACAAGGATATTATTTTGACCTAAACTTCACCTATCTCCACCAGCATTTGATCAGGCCACAAAAGCTGTTTGCAATTGTTTGTGCGGCCTTATCTTTGTTCGGTCTGTTTTGACTTGTGTGTGTCTCGCCTTTTGACAGGCGTGGGAGTTTTTCCAACACACCTCTCGATGTACTTTTTTTTTTTTTTAATAACAAACATTGACATCACTCTCTATCCCGAAACTCTGCTTGTAGTGTTTATTCCGATTTGATTATCTTCTTTTGAAGAAAAAAAAAGGGGGCTTATAAATACGAATGAATGAATGAATGAATGAATGAATGAACGAACGGTTTTGTGGTGGTGATGGAAAATCCGCAGCTCCAAAGGTCATCTGTATCTCTTGTCTTCCTCCTCCGCAGAGGTGTTGGGGCTATGGAGATCGTTGCCATGGATATGAAAGTGAATGGGATGTACATCGCTCGACAGCTTAGCTTTTCTGGAGTCACGTTCCGGATAGAAGAAATCCCACTGGACGCGGCATATAAGGACGTGTACAACAAGGCAGCGAAGCTGGTAAGCTTTTATGCTTTGGGGCTGTGTGATATAGGCTGGGCTCGCTTGCTGGAGCCACCTGGACTCTGGCCAGCTGATTTCTGTAGGGTAAAACAGAAGCCTGTGCATAATATGCGAATGAACCTTGCAAAGACCCAGCTCTCTATAGAGAAGTCCATCATGCTGGGAAGCGGGGAAGGAAAGGGAAGAGGATGACCAGCAGCAAGGGGAGGGACTCAGTTACCATGGTGACAGGTTTCACCAGTGGGAGACTTGAGAGAAGAGGTTAGGACTAGATCGGCCTGGAGTAAATCTATCAGTGGTTGCTAAGGAGTCGAAAACAACTTGATGGTACATCCTCCTCCTCCTCCTCCTCCTCTTTTAACAACCCCATAATCCCTTGCCTGGTGGAGTCTGATCAACTGAACGGAGCTGAGTGTTTACTGGCCAGATGCTCTCCCCGTCGCCAGTGCGGAGTTTTTGCAGCCGATATATTCTCAGTGTACCTAGAGAGAGAAATATCTGCCTCTACCTAGGATCGAACTCACAGTCTCCTGGTTGTGAGGCGAGAGCTCCACTTCTAGGCCACCGCGCCACTCATTGATGGTACATAAACAGCCCAAAATATAAATGTCTAACCTGTAGCAGATCATTCAATTCTCTGTTTAGCCCAGGGATAGGGGAACTCAATATTGTTAAACAACAACAACCAACAATGCAGCTAACATGGTTGTTGAGGTAATTCCCCGTTAGGAGAATGAGCACATACAGGGAGACATATTTGAGAGTAGTGTTTGAATAATACACACACAGCACACAGATACACTGTACAGTAAATGTAGGTTTTTACTTCCAGAAAGGTTTAAGCAAAGTTCAAAAACAAGCAGTCCAAAGTCATTCACAGGTAAGATCAGTCAGTTTTCATCCAGGGATAATCCAATAACAAATTCCAGTGTCAAAAACAGTTCAGTATCAGACTTACATCAAATCCAGGAATACCAGTCAATTATGAGGAACAGCAATACTTTCCAACAGAAGGAAACAGAAACTCACTCACACTCTCTTCTGAGACTAAGACTAAACAACCCAGGTTTCTGGCTCCATCTTATGGCCGTTTGAGAAACCACACCCAATTACAGTTTTGCATTTTCTTAAAGATACAGTTTTAAAATGTTTATCCTGGTTTATATATTTCTAACCCAAATACCTGTTAGGTGACTTATATTCCTAACAATGGTTAGTAACTGGGAATGCTGGGAGTTGTAATTCCACAAATTTGCAGGTACTTTATTTTCTCAGGTAGCGTCCTCCTGGTTCTCAGGCTTACAAGGGACTTTTGTCTTCTTGCTGCTCAAAGTGATGATGCTAGATTAGGTCACGTGTTGTGGCATTTTAAGCTGGAGGCAGATTGGAAGGCTTCAAAATTACAATTATCTTCCTGTTTCCATATAAAGATATTCGAGACATATTGCAGTTTTTCAGCAGTAGAGTGTAGAAGGATCTGCCAATACCGTTCTAGCTCATGTGGTTGGTCAGATCCTCCGGCCTTGCTTATCCTCCTGTTTCCCCTTGGGTCTCTGCAGAGCAAGGGCCTCCAACCTTGGCAATTTTAAGCCTGGAGGACTTCAACTCCCAGAATTCCCCAGCCAGCTTAAACCAGGGGCTAATAAAATAAATAATGAAAAGACGGATTAAGAGTGGGAGGACCCAGGTTTTAATCCCTCCTCAGCTACAGAAGCTCATTGGCTGATTTTGGGCCAGTCCCTCCCACTTAGCCAATAGAGTGAGGAAGGAGAGGAAAGGTCCAGATCCTTGCCCTCCCCCCCCCTAAAACTCCTTGGCTGATTTTGGGCTAGTGCCTCCCTCTCAGCTCCAGAGCCAATCAGATTATCTAGGGCAAAAAGGTGGATGAGGAGTGGGAGGGCCCAGGTTCTAATCCCTCCCCAACCACAGAAGCTTATTGGCTGACTTTGGGCCAGTCCCTCCCCTCTCACAGGGTTTGATATAAACTCATACTAAATCAGGGCTCTCCAATCATGGCAACTTTAAGCCCGGCAAAAAGTTGCAAAGCTGGCTGGGGAATTCTGGGAGTTGAAGTCCACCAGCGGCTTAAAGTTGCCAAGGTTGGAGACCCTTGTTCTAAATGAACTCCCGAAAATGCTATTATAACTGCTAAATACAGCTCATCAGTCTGGAATCCACACTGCATATCGGACATTAATACAATCGAGCGAGTCCAGAAGTATTTCACGAGAAGAGGACTCCACTCCTCTGCTCGCAACAGAATGCCCTAGATCACCAGGCTTGAGAATTTTGGGCTTAGACAACCTTGAACTCCTCCTCCTACAGTGTAGCACACAAAATTATCTGCTACAATGTCCTACCAGTCAATGACTACTTCAGCTTCAACCGCAACAACACAAGAGCACACAACAGATACAAACTCAATGTAAACCGCTTCAAACTCGATTGCAGAAAGTACGACTTCAGCAACAGAGTGGTCAATGCCTGGAATGCACTACCTGACTCTGTTGTTACATCCTCTAACCCTCACTCCTTTAACCTCAAACTAACCACTATTGACCGCACCCCATTCCTAAGAGGTCTGTAAGGGGCGTGCATAAGCGCACCGTCGTGCCTCCCGTCCCTGTCCTATTGTCCCCGTTTATTCGTACCTATCTCCTGTATTCTTACTCATATTTATACCGTGTTTCTCCAACAATACAGCCTCCCCCAATAGGAAGTCCCAGCATGTTTTATAGGCATAAAATGAAATTAAGCCCCTCCCCCCAAATTTAGGCCTATTTTAAAACATGGGGGGAAGGGTGGGGGAGGGCTTGGCGTTAGGAGCGCCCCCCCCCCCAGGCAGCCACCATGTTTCGCCACCAACCTCCCTACTCTCGCCAAGTACTTTTGCTGCAGACCCCCGGTTATGGTGCTGCCTGCAGGCCGGGTCAGCAGGCGGGCGTTGTCGGCGTGGATGGTCACTCGGCATTGGTAGGTCACTTCGTATCGGGAGACCTTCCGCTGCCGTTGCTTCAACTTCTGCCCATGCCACCCCGGCGTTTGGAGCGTCACAGTGGCATTCGATGCAACCACGTGGAGCCGGCCGGGACTCCTCCCTGCAACCGAAGCCCCACCGGAGATACTCAGCTTTAGGCGCTCCTGTCGCCGCCTTCCCGGGCATCGTTCGAAGGCAAAGGCCATTCTTTTAAAAACGACGCCCTACCACAACAAAACCTCCCCCGCCCTGGTCGCAGGGAGGAGCCCTGACTGGCCCCGCGTGGTTGCGCCAAACACGGCGACGCTCCAAATGCCGCGGCAGCACGGGCAGAAGGGAAAGCAACGGCAGTGGAAGTTCTCCCTAGACAAAGTGCCCCACCAACGCCGAGGCTGACATCCAAGCCAACGACGCCCGCCCGCCCAAGGATGCAAGGAGGGGAATTAAGTCACCCCCGAAAAGACGGCCTAGCCCTTTTTTCGGGGCTCAAAAAAAAAAGAAAAAAGACCCGGCCTTATTATATGAGAAACACGGTACCTGTACCTATTATCTTGTAAGCGATTGACAAATCAAGTAAATAAAGAAAAATAAATAAATAAAACACTCTTTTTTTTTTCCCCCCCTCCCGGTCGGCAGTGGGCAAAAGCCCTGGTGGTTTTCCAAAAGGCTGCAGACCTCATTGGCCTGGAGTCCCGGAAGTCTCTGTGGGGTCAGTTCTGGGGGGCTCACCAGCGCTTCTTCAAGTACCTCTGCATTGCGGCCAAAGTCCGGCGTCTGGTGGAGCTGGCCCAGGAGGAGCTCGGCAAGGGCAAGGTGAGGAAGGAGAACATGGAGCCCGTCCTTAGTTCTGCCTCCGATCGCTCAAGAATGTGAGCGAGAAGGACCTGAAACAGATTTGCTTTTGCAATCTGGTGATTCTTTGAATTAACTCTTCAAATAGTCTCCTTTCCCTCCCTGCTCCTCCTCTTTTTCCTTCTCATTCTCTTTCCCTCCCTCCCTGCTCCTCCTCCTCCTCCTCCTCCTCTTCCTCTTCTCCTTCTCCTCTTCCTCTTCTTCCTCCTCTTTCCTTCTCATTCTTCTTTCCCCCTTCCTCCTCCTCCTCCTCCTCCTCCTCCTCCTCCTCTTCCTCCTCTCTTTCTCCTTCTCTTCTTCCTCCTCCTTTTCCTCCTCCTTCTCTTTCCCTCCCTCCCTTCCCCTCCCCCTCTCCTCCTCCTCCTCCTCTTCTTCCACCTTTTCTTTCTCCTTCTCCTTCTCTTTCCCTCCCTCCCCTCTCCTTCTCTTCCTTCTCCTTTTCCTCCTCTTTCTCTCCCTCTTCCTCCTTCCTTCTCCTTCTCCCTGTCCTTTTCCTTCTCATTTCCTCCTCCTCCTCCTCCTCCTCCTCCTCCTCCCCCTTCCTCCCCCTCCTCCTTTTCCTCCTTCCCCTTCCCCCTCTCCCCTCCTTCCTCTCTCTCCTATACCTCCTTCCCCTTCTCCACCCTGTCCCCCCTTCTTCCTCCACCACTTTCAATTCCTGAGTTTTCTCACCCAGCCTGTTCCACATCTTGATGTTCGTTCTTTTCCCACATGCCGGCCATCCTTGCTCTCCTTTCTGCCCGGCTTGCCTTCCGCAGTGCGTGGTGATCGGGTTGCAGTCGACGGGAGAAGCCCGCACCCGGGAAGTTCTGGATGAGAACGAGGGGCACCTGAACTGCTTCGTGTCGGCAGCTGAGTGAGTTTTCTGTTTGGGAGGATGCACGTTTCGTAAACCCTACCACGGTCCCTGCCCAAGATGTTGGGGGCTACAAACTCCCCCAAATCCTGCAGGTAGCATGGAGGGAGCCCCCGGAGGTCACTGCTTCGTTGCCTTCTGATAAAGGCAGTCACCTCTGAACTATTTACCCTTCCTGCGGCCTTTAAGAAACCCAGTGCCTCCATTCATTCCATCATTGGCATTCTCAAAAGAAGCTGCCCCTTCCTTTTGGTCTCTTATTGGCACCCGTGGAAATACAACCAATTGGCTGCCCTAGAGATTCACCACCTTTGCCTCTTCCATCTGAAACAAGCCGCCAAGCTCAGGCCACACCTGTCAGGGCTCCAACAAATCCACCCCCACTCAAATCAAAAGTCTCTAGCCGCATCTCAGAGAAAAGAAAATTGATTTATTAGGAATGGCCATGTTGGTGTTAGCGGGGTGCAGCCAATACTAAATTACATCATTCATTTCCCCCTTGACCCTGGTCTTCCCCCCACCCCCTGGATGAATATTCTCCAATGGGACACATCCATAGCCAAGAGTCATCAATCATGCTCTCCAGTAATAATCTTGCGTGCCAACAGCTTTGGGCTGCCAAGGCGATTATCTGAGGCATTTAAGGAATGCACTGTTTCCCCCCCACACTCCCTTTTTCTGCTAAAAAAAGGAGCGTCTTTTTAGTTGACAACGCCATTCCCACAGCCACCTCATTTTGGTGTTTCGTTGTTTTTTTTCTCCCTTTTGGCCATCCGAGTGTGTGTGCGCTCATGCTTTCTCCATGACCTACCGTGCATTTGGGAGAGAGAGGGGTGAAGATGGGAGACATCTCAGGTGCATTTCCCCCCACCTCTCAAAGCTCTGTCATCAACATTTGAGTCCATCCCACCACAAACCTCTTCCCCCCACCCCACCCCCCCACCCGGCCTTTGCATTGTTTAGTCTTTTCCTACCTGGCCTTGTGAAGACCCCTGTTTAGTCTGTAGCCTAAGCAAGAAGGACAAAGCATAAGGCTGCCTAATTTGAAAGGGATGACGCGTCGCTGCCCGTCCTTCTCATCAACTGCTTGCTTGCGAAAGGCCTTACCATGTGAGTCCCAACACCTCCCCTACCTTCCCTGCCTCAAAACAACCCTTTCCAGGGTTCTCCTATACCAGGGAGGGCAAACCTTTTGGTTGCGGTGTGCTGAAAGTGCGTGCGTACCAGTACCCACAATGCAATGCCCCCCGCCCCCCCCCCCCGCACATGCGTGCGCGACACCCCTGCCCCACCCCCTTATCTGCACAGCGCATGCGAGTGCCTCCCAACTGGTTTTTTCGGCCCCTTTGAGGCCGTTTTCGCCCTCCCGGAGGCTCGAGGGAAGCCTCTGCAGCCTCGGGAGGCCAAAAAAACGGGCCTTCCGGAAATATCAGAAGTGCCCGTTTTCAGATTCTGGAAGCCCTCTTGGGGCCTGGGGGAGGCCATTTTCAGCCTCCTGGACGCTTTGAGGGAAGCCTCTGGAGCCTCGGGAAGCTGGAAACAGACCCGTTTTGGCACTTCCGGTATTTCCGGAAGGCCCGTTTTTCGGCCTCCCGAGACTGCAGAGGCTTCCTTAGAGCCTCCGGGGAGGGCGAAAACGGCCTCAAACGGGCCGAAAATCAGCTGGGAGGTGTGCGCATGTGCAGTGCAGGTAAGTTTGGCTGGGGCTCGCGGGCCCACACATATGACTCTGTGCGCCACCTGTGGACACGCGTGCCATAGGTTCGCCATCACAGTCTTATATCAGAGTGTCAAACTGGATTTCTCCGAGGGCTGGATCAGCATTGTAGTTCTTCTCCATGGGCTGTGGGGGGAGACGGAGAGGTTGAGGGAGATGGGATGGACGCCTCCTTCAGCCCCCTGCTGGGGAAAGCAGGGGGCGGGGGGGGGCTCACGGCCCACGTGTGGCCCATTTTCTGCCACCAGGGTGCCGCAGGAAGCCGCGGAGGCTGAAAACGGGCTGCGCAGGAGCCTCACTTGGCCCGTTTTGGCTAGTAGAGGCACTGCGGGCCGGTCCTTTGATATATCCAGGCTGGCCCCACGGGCTAAATTTAACCACCCCACAGGACGGATTGGGCCCGTGGGCCTTGAGTTTGACAGGCCTGCACTAGTATATAAAAGAGGAAAGCCCACTCCCTTCTAGCACTGATGGCGGTATTTAGTTGGGTAATGAAACGTCTGCAGAAACAACAACAAACCCCAAGAGAGCACCAAGGACCCCACAGTTCAATCTGGAGCTACAAAAATTATCTTCTATTTGTAAAATAATAGATTTTCCTGGTATACTGTTCATGGCAGGGCAATGTTGACCGTTACAATTGGGCAGTGGTGGGTGGTTCTGTGGGCGTGGCTTGGTTTAGTGGCATGGCTTGGTCGGCATGGCAGGGGAAGGATACTATAAAATCTCCATTCCTTCCCTACCCCACTAACCTGCTTTCCAGCTCTGTTCTCCTGTGCAGGGCAACCAAAGAAGACCCAGCCGATCAGATGGGACTCAATGGGAGGCGGAGAAGAGATGGGGGTGGGACCAGTCAGAGGTGGGATTGGCCGGTTCTCTGAACTACTCAAAATTTCTGCTACCAGTTCTCCAGAACTGGTCAGAACCTGCTGAATACCACCTCTGCAATTTGGGAAATAATGTCCAAATCACCATCATACCAGGAAAAGTCTATATTTTTACCAACGGAAGAAAATATTTGTAGCTCAGGATTGAACTGTGGGGTCATTCCTGCTCTCTGAGCTTGGTTTTTTTTTGGTTTTTTTTTTTTTTTTTTTTGCAGACATTTCATGACCCAGCTAGGTTAACACCATCAGTGCTAGCAGGGAGTGGGGTTTGCTCTCTGTTTGTATACAGTGGCTTGCCATCAGCAACTCAGACAAACAAACAGTAAAGAAATGTCCAAGCAAGAAAGTGCCACTTCCACTTCCACTCGCACCGGCAGGGCAAGCCACTAGTATATAAAAGAGGAAACCCCATTCTCTTCTAGCACTGATTACATTACCTAGTTAGGTAATGAAAAAGTCTGCAAGAAAACAACTATGCTCAGAGGTCACCAATGACCCCACAATGCCTATATATCGTAGGCAGCTTTGCAAACACAAATGCACACTTATTTTGAAAACAGTAATTGCTAGCAATTTTAGCGCGGCTAAATCAGAGGTCTCCAAATTTGGCAACTTTAAGACTTGTTGGACTTCAACTCCCAGAAGGCTGGAGAATTCTGGGAGTTGAAGTCCAACAAGTCTTAAAATTGCCAAGTTTGAGGATCCCCGGGCTAAAGGAACGCAGGTTCAAGACTCCAGATCTGGGTTTGGGTTTTTTCCTTTTTGCAAAATTGAAAAACCCGTCTCTCCTTTGCAACGCTGAGCTTCCTTTAGGTTGATTCTGTTTTTAAGTTTTGATTTTTTTTTCTTCTCTGTGCCTTTTTTTTTTTTGTTGCTGTTCGTTTTCACGTGAGCAGTTTGGTGTCCTGGGCAGCTAGAATAAAATATCCCCTCTTAACTTTCAGAGGCGTCTTCCTTTCACTAATTCGGAAGCACTTTCCTTCAACCAAACGAAAAAGAGAAAGAGGAAGTATCATTAAAAGAAAACGTAAGAGCCCTTCTTATCCTCCCCCCTCCCTCCCTCCCTCCCTCCCCCTCTATACAAAACCCTGATATCTCAGACCTTCTGCGGTGCCCCTGCAGTTCGTATCCTGCTCTCTTCCCTCCTCATTCTTGTCCCCATTTTCCCATCCCTCCATTTTGCTCTTCCAAGGTTTCTTTTCTTTTCACTGTTTTTATTTTCTAGCTGTTTCATTCCTTTCATTTGCGGCCTGGGGCTTGTTTTAGGTCTGCAGTGCTTTTCACATTCATGCCATTTCTGGTACGTTTTCCCCATTTAATCCTGGCCTGTACCGCCCCTTCCTCCTAACCCAGGGGCGAAGAATCTATTGCGTTCCTAAAGTTTCTGACTTATGGGGTAGTCCTTGACTTACAACTTTAAATGGGACCAGAATTTTCATTGCTTAAGGAAGGTGAGTTGAGTGAGTTTGCAACCAATTTTATAATGCTTTTTTTTTGCCGTGGTTGTTAAGTGAATCACTGTGGTCATTAACTGAATCCGGCTCCCCCCATTGTCACTAACCAGCTGGGAAGGTGAAACAATTGGAGTCTCAACCATTATAAATATACGCCGATTGCCAAGTGTTCAAATTTTGAAAATGTGAACATGGGGATGCTGCAGTAGTCATAAGTGTGAGGACTGGTCATAATTTGCTTTTTTTTCAGCACCATCCTAACTCCAAATGATCACTAAATGAATGAAAGGTCATAAGTTGAGGACTTAAAAACAACATAGACACTGTGATCTCACCAGCAACTTGGCTCAAAGGAGATTTTTTTTTTTTGTTAGTATATTAATAATCATAATTTGGTCACACCAGCTGCAGAAAACCCACTCAAGATGGACAGGGGCTCCAAGCATCGCTTGGGCCTCATTTTCTCCTGTCCTGATTGGACGCACTGTCTGAACGTTCCTTTTTTTTTTCCTGCTATTTATTTCTTTAGTTTTCCTTGGATGTTTCCAAAAAAGAAAATGAAAAAAAACCAAAAACCCTCCATTCAGCTTATAGCAATAATTGGCAGCTTTCTCTCCTCCCTGCTTATAAATATCTCCCCAAATGAGTCGCCTTTGAGGGAATCGGCCCCTGTTTGGACTGTGCTATTCCATTTTTCAGCTGCCTTAATGCTCGCTTACCGACTGCCTAGTTCAGTGACCGTTCAACGTTATGACAGGGCTGAAAATGTAGGTTTATGATCGGTCCTCGAACTCGTGACTATGGCAGAAACCTTCGTGGTCATGGGGGGCTGTCCTTTGGGCGCTTAGCAACCAGTGCCCATCAACGACAGTTGCCATATCATAATCCCACGATTTCCATCTGCATTCCTCACTGCTGGCTTCTGACAAGCAAAGTCAATGGGGAAGCCTGTGGGAAGCCTCAGATCACAGTCCCATGACAACATAACAACGGCGGCCAGAATAGATGCAAGTGGGCTATAGTCACATGACATTTCAATTAGTGATGGAGTTGCTGGTCCCAGTTGCGGTTGGTAAGTGAGGACTGCTTTAATTCTTGTACACACAGCGGCAAGATGCTACAGAGAGCTAAGAAGCAGCATTAACATAAACGCGTAACCGTAAGAAAGGCGAGAGCCAGTTTGGTAGAGGGGTTAAGGCATAAGGTTAGAAACCAGGAGATCCGTGAGTTCTAGTCCCACCTTAGGCACAAAAGCCAGCTGGGAGATTTTTAGCCAATCACCAAGAGAGAATTTCTCATTCCACCTTAGGTACAAAATCCAGTTGTGTGATTTTGAGCCAATCACCTGGAGACTGTGAGTTCTAGTCCTGTCTTAGGCATGAAAGCCAGCAGGGAGATTTTCAGCCAATCACCTGGAGACTGTGAGTTCTAGTTCCACCTTAGGCAGAAAAGCCAGCTGGGTGGCCTTGGGCTTATCCCTCCCAAAAAAAACTGCAGCCGAGAATCAGGCACGATTGAACAGAAAGAAAAAAATAAACACGATGAATAATTTCAGATCGAGAACCAGTACCTCGGGGTTGGATTAGAATGATACCCTCTGAGATCCTAGTTCTTCCATCCTCACTCGTCCAACTTTTGACTGGCAGCTTCGTGGGCTTGATACATACCCTGTCCAAAACGACACAGCCAAAGCGGAGGTTTTCTTGTCTCCGTGGCTGAGCCTTGCCAATTGCACTGCTTCTCCCTGCCCTCCTTGTGCATCTGTCTCAAGGCAGCGTTTCTCAACGTGAGCAAGACGGGTGGACTTCAACTCCCAGAATCCTTCGCTCGGCGTGCTGACTGGGGAATTCTGGGAGTTGAAGTCCACCCGTCTTAAAAGTGGCTCAGGTGGAGAAACGCCAATCTGAATCGAATTGGTCCTTCGACGCTTCTGCCATCCTGTTTTTTTTTTTCCCCCCTCCAGTGAAGCAGAGAGTCCGAGGCCTTAACAAAGTGATGAAAACCGCCCAGGACCACTACAGCAGTAGCAACGACATCATCAAGATCAGCTCGGAGAGCAGCACCGATTCTGAGCCGGGTTTGGAGAGCGATTTCAATTCCTCTCCGGAGTCCCTCGTGGAAATGGAAGACTTGGCCAGCAGATACAAACCCTTCAATGGCGCCATGTGTAATGATCCAAGTAAGTGTTCTGACCCGGCTCCCAAACACGACAAGCCCTTTGTAGCTAACAAAATGTCCCTTTATAAGGAGCGCCAGCAGCCACTCTCTCACAGCAGGCTACAAAGTCTCTAAGTCCTGTGGAAAGTGACGCTCGCTCCCTTTCCTCCTGAATTTGGCCCAACACATCAGGAACAGGGGTGGGATTCTACCAGTTCGCACCTATTCGCTAGAACCAGTTGTTAACATTCTAAGCAGTTCGGAGAACCGGTTGTTAGAAGAAATTACTGGCCTAATCCTGTAAGGAAGACAGGAAGGAAACATTCTGGTGTTGCTTACAGAAACTGCCTCTCCGTTAACCCTTGTTACATTCTTCGCAGGACTAGACTTCCTGTCCCTGGAACTTCTCTGGAGTTTTTTTCCCCTCCTTTGCTTTGCTTGTGTGGAGTGACCATTCAAAGTTACAATGGCACTGAAAAAAGTGACATGACCGTTTTTCACACTTACGACTGTTGCAGCATCCCCACAGTCATGAGAGGCCAGGCGAGGAGATTCGTGCCTCGATGTGAGCAATATTGAGTTGGCCACGCCCACCCAATAACATGACCACTAAGCCATGTCCACCCAGTCACATGACCACCAAGTCACGCCCACCACCTAAACCACACCCACAGAACCAGTTGTTAAAAATTTGAATCCCACCCCTGACCAGGAGTCAGTCTGTCTCTGTCTCTGTCTCTGTCTCTCTCTCTCTCTCTCCCCCTCTCCCCCTCTCCCCCTCTCCCCCTCCCCCTGCCTTTTATCCCTAGAGCTAGAGTTGGGCTTAGCTAGCAGAGGTGGCTCTTCCATCCCAAGGACCGGCCCATAGATTTCCACTGCTCTCCTCTCCTCTCCTCTGCTTTGCGCATATCCGCGTGTCATGCACTGGACCCAGCTGTTCCTCCTCTTCCTCATCAGCCACCTCCAGACCTGGGAGCTGTTGACTCACCATCTGAGGGCTGACGGGTGGCCCAGGCTCCGCCTCTGATTCTATGTGTTACAGCTCCATTCCCTCTTCCCCCTCAGACCTTCCAGGTTGCCTTGAGGCTGGCCCCGACTCCCACGCTGCCTCCCCTCTGATGGCAGGCCACAACAGTAAGCCTTGTTCTGATGCTCCCTGTCCTCCTTGCCAACCGGAAACATCCGGGGAAGTGCAGAATGATTGTTCCCTAGTTTCACATGTGAATGGGGGCAGTTGTGGAATTGGAGGTTTGGAATGTTATCCAGGGCAGGGGTCCCCAAACTCATCGACTTCCTTCAGATAGTTTCAAATTGTTCATCCCCCCTCAACTATTTATCACCGGAAAACAATGCAATAAATATTATTTTAATGGTGCTACGGTCAAGCAAAGTCAACGGGGAAGCCAGATTCGCTGAACAACTCTGTCGTTCACTTAACAACTGTGGCAAGAAAGAAAACGGGGCAAAACTCACTGAACAACTATCTTGGGCTCAATTGTCATAAGTCGAGGCCTATCCATACTTCCTTGGGAGAATGTCTGTAGCATTGGATTCTTGAGTACCCAGAGTGGGGGGGGGGGGAATTAAGTATCTCAAGAATATGAAGAACAGTTGCAGGAATTGGGTATGTCTAGTTTGATGAAAAGAAGGACCAGGGGAGACATGATAGCAGCCTTCTAGTATCTCAGGGGCTGCCCCAAAGAAGATGGGAGTCAAGCCATCCTCCAAAGCACCTGAAGGCAGGACAAGAAGCAATGGGTGGAATCTAATCAAGGAGAGAAGCAACCTAGAACTAAGGAGGAATTTCCTGATAGAACAATTAATCAGTGGAACAATTTGCTTCCAGAAATTGCGAATGCTCCAACACTGGAAGTTTTTAAGATGTTGGACAACCATTCGTCTGAAGTGGTATAGGTTCCTGCCTAAGCAGGGGGTTGGACTAGAAGACCAAGGTCCCTTCCAATTCTGTTATTCTATTCTATTCTATTCTATTCTATTCTATTCTATTCTATTCTATTCTAGTCTAGTCTAGTCTAGTCTAGTCTAGTCTAGTCTAGTCTAGTCTAGTCTATTCCTAATGTAATCTAATATAATCGTACAACTGATGTAAGCTACAGGGCTACCTTTGCCCTACTCTGCCTTCCTGTTTTCCTCTCTCTGAAAAGAAAAAAAGAGAATAAGAGCTACAATCTCTTTCTCTTCCCCTTTACAGTTGGTCTATATTGGCTGAGCCCCCAAAAGGAGATGAACGGATCAGGGACTCCAGAATGCGTGGAGAACATGAAGCAGGAACTGCTGTCTCAAGTGAAGGAATTGGGCAAAGAGCTGCCTCTTAACACTCTGGACGAGCTGATCGACTACTTTGGAGGCCCGGAAAAAGTAGCAGAGGTAAAACATTAGGGACCAGAGGAAAGGGGAAGCATCACAAAATATTTTTGCCTTCTATGCCCCACAAAGTCAATTCACACTTGGGTGGCCTATCCCAGCAGTCTCCAATGTTGGCCACTTTTGAGACTTATGGACTTCAACTCCCAGAATTCCTCAGCCAGCCATGGAATTCTGGGAGTTGAAATCCACAAGTCTTGAAGTGGCCAACTTTGAAGACCCCGACCTGTACCTTTGATTTATAAAAGGCATAATTATATAGGCAATCCCTTATGCCTTTGTAAATCAAAAATACAGGCCAGGGGTCATCAAAGTTGGTCACTTTAAGACTTGTGGATTTCAACTCCCAGAAGAGGGAGAGGTTATTTTGTGGGGTCTTTGATGTTCTCTGAGCTTGGTTGTTTCCTTGCAGACATTTCATGACCCCACTAGGTTATATCATCCGTGCTAGTGAGAAGTTATTTATATACTATAACTGGCCCTGCCAGGGTTGGTGACCAGTTCGTCTCCATTTAAAGTTAAGCTTTCCTCTTATTTCAGCTTTTGGCAGAGCCACCCCAGTAAAATCAACTGGGAGAAGGTGTGAGAGCAGAGACTCATACAGAGATAGATCAGGCACCCAACTTGCTGTGGGACAACTTGCAACGAAACAAGAGTTACGCTAACATCAAAGAAATGGTGGAATAGAATCATTAAAGAAAGGAAGCAAGAGGAGGGACAAAATGAAATGTGAACGACAACAATTAAAATACATTTTTAAAATTATTTTAAATAATTGAATGGAATTGCTGAATGGTCCCAAGGCAAATTGTCCCCTAGGGCAGCGGTCTCCAACCAGTGGGCCGTGAGAAAATTTTGGTGGGCCGCAGAGAAATCTCAACCCCAGAGCACCCCCCCAAGCAATTAATCTCTGAATGAATCTGTGATTCTGTGAGCAATTCAATATGCCTGCCTGCTTTGTCTAATTTTGGGTAAAAGTTGCTCTTTTTTCAATAAAAAAAATCAATATTTATATAAATATTTATAATATTTACATACAAGCCATGCCCAGCCAGTCACATGACCACCAAGCCACACCCACAAATTAGGCCACGCCCACAAAACCGGTTAGTGGTCTCTGGGATCTACAATTATGAGTTTGGTGGTCCCTGAGGTCCAAAAGGTTGGCGACCCCTGCCCTAGGGCATTGGCCACGATGAGTTGTCCATGGCAAATTGGCTGTGGCAAGTTGTCCCATTCTACCCTCTGCAAGGCGACTCTGGCCAGCTACGCTTTTCTGAGAGATAGATTAGATAAAAGTAGATTTCATTTATTAATTAGCTACGATTTGCCCCTCTGAAGTAACGTGGATTTGGGAGGCTAACCGTTCAAAGCAAAATAAAAGCCGTAAGCAAAACTACACAGTGCCATCAAAGAGCAGCCGCGCTGTCAGCATTCCAACTAACCAACTCCAAACCAATAAACTGTTCAGAGTTTTGCAGCATAAATTCAGCGCCAGAAAAATAAACCCAGATGGCTGAGGCTTCATTTAACTTCTTTATAAACACATAAAGTAAATTTTACAAACCAGTTGTAGATTTCTCCAACATGGAGCCAACTCAAACAGAAACATACATGTTACAAGTTTAGCGCAGCGTAGCAACTCGGGAGCTCAGAAACAGACATCAGTTTCACTTTAGTTCAGCAGGCAAGCTAGTTTCTCTTTCACAGCAGAGGAGAGAAGCAGTTTCATTTTCAATAGACAGACTCAAAGCTTAACATAGCTTCAGAGCTGCAGAGCTTAATATAGAGCCACGCCTAGGCTACTTCCTGTTTCAGTTTCCAAACAGTTCTCATTGGCTGACTTAGTTGCTATGCATCCATTAAATCCATCACACGGTCCAATCAACCATCGTTCAACTAGAGACATTCCTCCAGCCACTCCCCTCCAGGTGCAGGGTAACTTGTCCTTGATTTTCTGAGAAAGAACATTGTTTTGTCTAATCTTCCTCCTCTCCCTGAAACCCCCCCTCTCCCAAATTTCCAGGCACTAAAATGTGCCAGCCTCGAAGCTTCTAAGTAATATATGGCTTCCAAAGGCTTGACACAGAGTCACTCCCGTGTCCCCTTTTCCCTCTCGGACAGATGACTGGTCGGAAGGGACGTGTCGTGCGGAGGCCTGGGGGCTCCGTGGTGTTTGAATCGCGAGCTGAGCAAGGCCTTTCGATCGACCACGTGAACCTCAAGGAAAAGGAGCGTTTCATGAACGGAGACAAAGTGAGTGCTGGATGGGGTGGGGGTAGGCTGCCCAGGAATGGGATGGGGAGGGACCCCACCTTGCCAGAGTCATGATAGGGCATTGGACCCTTCTGTGTTTTGACGTGGAGCTCCAAGTGGCCGGAGAAGATCAATGAAGCACTGATTTCTCTTGGGGGTTCATACAGGCTGAATGCAGGTGGTTCTCACTTAATGACCGATCACTCAGCGATTGTAAGAAGCCAATAGAGGAGGATATTTATAGCTCAGGGTAGAAATGAAACATCACAGCAATTGAAGCAATGGCTGCCAAGCCAGACATTTGGGCTGCCTAGTCTTTCTCAACCTTTTTTTTAAAGGTTTTTATTTTATTTTTTAAAGACAAACATTAACAAACACAAACATAAAACATTGACATAAAACCATCTTCCAAAATACAGCGTGTCGGTTGGTACATTTCTTTTGTGCAATGTTATAATATCAACAGTCTTACCCTTCCAAACATACATTCATATTGCATAAGTCAGTCTTTCACAACCTTGATCCCTTTAAGATGAATGGGCTCCAACTTCCTGGCTGGGAATTCACCTTCAAGTGGCCAAGACTGAAAAAACACAACTCTTGAGCATGGAAATATTTGTTAAGCTTGCATTTGAATGCAAACCTATTTTACATTTTGAACCCCTGTCCCAATGGAAAATGAGTTGCCATCCAACATTCGGTTTTATAAACTATTAATGTGGTTAATTAATTTTCATGCAAGTGCAACAATGACCATTACAATTGGGAAGGTCCATAAAGAAATTGTGAAAATAATGTCCAAATGTCCATTATATCAGGGAAATCTATATCTTACCAATGGAAGAGAATATTTGTAGCTCAGGATTGAAGTGTGGGGTCCTTGCTGCTCTCTGAGCCTGGTGGTGGTTGTTTTTGCAAACATTTCATGACCCAGCTAGGTAGCATCATCAGTGCTAGTAGGGAGTGAGGTTTGCTCTCAGTTTATATTCTGGTGGGAGTGGTCCTGGGCAGTTCCTTCATTGGCCTGTTTACTGTTAGCTTGTTTGGCACTTCCTTGGTTGGATATTGTTTACTTCTTGGTCGTTAATCTTGGACCTTCCTAGAGCTGTTTTTGACCTGCCTCTGGAGTTCTGATGGCTCCCCCCTCCTCCCCAATTACATGATTCCCTTTTGGGTGCTTGGCAAATAGCTCACATTGAAGGCCATTTGCAGCATCCCGAGGTTACATGACTGCAATTTTGATGGGTTTTGCCAGTTTACGACGTTTCTTCCAATTTCTGACCAAAATGCACCAATGAAGAAGATGGGTTCATTTAATGAACCAAACAGATGGATTATAGCAGCTCACAGATTGATAATTCCCTGAGTGGCAATTATTCCATATCTTCTTTGAAAACGATTCAGCTCCACTTCCCTTTTAAAAATGCACCCTTTCCCCTGTCCAACGTATCTCTCAGGGCAAGGGTTGAGCCAACTTGCTTGAAGACATTAAGGAGGCTGCCAGGTTGCAAAAATCCAGCCAACTAAATTGACTCTGTTCTCTCTCTCTCTCTCTTAGCTTGTAGCAATAATCTCAGAGGCCTCCAGCTCAGGGATTTCACTCCAAGCAGACAGACGGGTAAAGAATCAGAAACGGCGGGTCCATATGACTCTGGAATTGCCCTGGAGTGCTGACCGAGCCATACAGCAGTTTGGTAAGCCAGCTTTGGTGTCTCCTGTAATGTCCAGAAGTAGGAAATCTAATTTAGCGAGAAAAGGGACTAGGGATGACATGATAGCAGTGTTCCGATATTTAAGAGGCTACCACAAAGAAGATGGGATCAACTTATTCTCCAGAGTACCAGGAAAGCAGGACAAGAAACAATGGATGGAAACCAATCAAGGAGAGAAACAACCTAGAACTAAGGCAAAACAATCAACCCATGGAACAGAAGTTGCCTTCAGAAGTTGTGGGAGCTTCATCACTGGAGGCTTTCAAGAAGAGATTGGACTGCCATCTGTCAGAAATGGTGTACGGTCTCCTGCTTTGGGCCGGGGGTTGGACTAGATGACCTATAAGGTTCCCTTCCAATTCTGTTGATCTGTATGTGGGATGGTCCGTTCACGATCTGCCTTTTCCTTCCAGGCCGCACCCACCGTTCCAACCAGGTGTCTGCTCCAGAGTACATTTTCCTCATCTCCGAACTGGCTGGCGAGCGGCGGTTTGCGTCTATTGTGGCAAAACGCCTAGAAAGCCTTGTAAGTTACTCTCCTTCCCTGCCTTAAGACACCTTAAGAAAAGTCACCATTTTCACAGGGAGTCTAGGACAACTCATTGCGGCCAACTCACCACTGCCAGCTTGTCAGAGTGTTTGCAGCACAACCCAAGAGCACAATACAGCACACAGAGGCTTTGTATTTTAACAGAGGTTTATATACAAAACAGCTGTATACATACATATACGTGTTAGGCACATACCAGGCAAGCAAGCAATCTTCATTACTCTGCACGGAGAACTACAATGGAGAAAGAACACGAGGAGAGAGAGAGAGAGAGAGAGAGATGCCCTCACATGGATTCCTTTTTATAGACAGCTTCTTAAAGCGGCAGTACCCTGCTGACTCATCCTCAGTTCATCTTCTTGGCTTGGCCTTACAGCAGCTGGTCACCTATTAAATCTTCATTGCCTTAACACAACTCACCACGGACAATACCGTGCAGGATAATTCAATGTGATAAATGTTACCTGCCCCTGTTCCTTGGACATTATTTCCATTTTTTCAATTTCCTTATTCTTTGTTCTGTTCTATTCTATTCTATTCTATTCTATTCTATTCTATTCTATTCTATTCTATTCTATTCTATTCTTTCCTTATTCCTTGTTCTGTTCTATTCTATTCTTTCCTTATTCCTTGTCTATTCTATTCTATTCTATTCTATTCTATTCTATTCTATTCTATTCTATTCTATTCTATTCTATTCTATTCTATTCTATTCTCTATTCCATTCCATTCCATTATTCTATTCTATTCTATTCTATTCTATTCTATTCTATTCTATTCTATTCTATTCTATTCTAATGGTAGGAGAGTAAAGAGATGCTGACCAGGATGTGAATGATCCCTGAGGATTTCCCTCGCTCTGCTGAGGCAGCAGGTCCTGGCTATTTCGTCCAGTGGTGTCAGGGGACAGCCCATAATTTTTTGTGCTGTGCTCATCACCCTCTGGAATGCCTTTCGGTTTGCGGCTGTCAAGCCAGCCTACCACACCGTAACACAATATGTAAGGACGCTTTCTCTCACGTGTGACCTTCTCTTTACCACAGGGTGCCTTAACTCACGGTGACCGAAGAGCGACTGAATCCCGGGACCTCAGCAAATACAACTTTGAGAATAAGGTGAGGTTAAGTCTGCAGCTCTCCCCAAAGCTTCTGCCTTTCAGTAAGATTTGTTAGTTAGAAAAGGTGCTGTGGATTTGTATTTTTTGCCTTTGTTTTTCATGCTATCCGGTGAACGGATACCATGAAATATCCCTCGAGGGATAACACTTCAAGCAGATGCGTGAGGTGGAAAATGGAGTTAGTGCTGTATTTTCCTTGGGTGAAATGAGGACAGGAGTGCAATCCTTAAAATGTGCAACCTTCGGTGGTCTCTGAGTTTGGTTGTTCACTTACAGAAATCTCATTACCCAATGAAGTACAGGTAATCTTCAATTTACAACCACAGTTGACCCCAACATTTCTTTCTTTTTCTTTTTTTTACATAATTTTTTATTTTTTACACATCTCTTCAAGTGAGCAAGGTGACTCCAGTCTACAACATACATATATAATCATAGTTACATTTTCAGCTATCTTATCTAGTTTCATTTCAAATCGTTACCGATTCCATTTTTCTTTTAATAAATTTTCACTTCATTATTATTTCATTCATAATTCCAGAAACAAAAACATTTTCATCCTAAAAGATATTATCCAATATTTATCCCCTTAATGATCATTTCCATCTTACCAATTATTTTATTTTATATGTTCTCTTCATTTACTTCCTCAAAGCCAGTGTATAGCAAATAAAAAAAAGAAAAGAAAACTAATACCAATATAGTCATTCTTAATTATTACCTTCGAGTTAGCTGCATCCCTATTTACTATTTTATATTCTTCTTCTTTTATATATACTGTATTAAATACAAAATAGAAAATACAATCGATCATACAAATAATATCAGAAAAACAAAGAATATGGAAATTATAAATGATAATATTGCAAAGCAAAGTGTTTGAAATGAGATTCTTGTATTTATGGTTCAAAAGGCGATGAATGAAAAAGACCCCAACTTTTCTGTTGCTAAGCGAAACTTTTGATAACTTGAGTTTTGCCCCATTTTACGACCTTTCTTGCCACAGTTGTTAAGTGAATCACAGCGAGTTGTGAAGTGAGTACTATGGTTGTTAAGTGAATCTGGCTTCCCCCTTGAAACTTTGCTTGTCAGAAGGTCGCAAAAGGGGATCACGTGACCCCCCAGGGAACAGATCACTCTTCCTAAATAGGAGTTAGTTGTCAAGCATCCGAATTTGGATCATGCGGCCAATGGGGATGCTGCAACAGTCGTAAGTGTGAAAAAATGGTTATATATGTCGCTTTCTTCAGTGACATCGTAACTTTGAACAGTCGCTAAGTGTATCGTTGTAAGTTGAGGACCACCTGTAATGTCGTCAGTGCTAGAAGGGAGTGTAGGGTTTGTATTCTGTTTGTATCTACAGGGAGTCCTCAAATTATGACCAAGTTTGCAATAAGTTAAATCGGTTGTTTTAAGTGATTTGTGCGGTCCTTAAGCAAAACCGGCTTCCTCCCTTTGATTTTATTTGTCGGAAGTTGGCCGGGAAGATCACAAATGACTATGATGTGACCCTGGGAAGCTGGAACTGTCATAAATACATGCTGTTTGCCAAGCACCCAAATTTTGATCCTGTGGCTGTATGGAGGCTTCAGTGGTTGTAAGTGCAAGGAATGGCTGTAAATCGCTTTTTTCAGTTCCACCGATTTCGAACAGTTACTAAACATGTGGTTGTAAGTCAAGGAGTCCCTGTGTTAGCTTGCACACCTCAACCAAAATTGACAGGCCAAGCCACTAGGGACAGTCCTTGACTTACAACAGTTCATTTAGCGACTGTTCGAAGTCAGAGCGGCACTGAGAAGAATAACATGATCATTTTTCACATTTATAACCTTTGTAGGTACCCTACGGCAGTGATCCCCAACCTTTTTTATGCCGCGGCCCGATACCGTAATCAGCTGGGCGCCGCGGCCCGGTACTGGCATCAGCTGGGCGCCGCCATCTTTTCTGATGAAAAAGTGCTTCCGGTGAGCTTTCTACCCGGAAAAGCTCACCGGAAGTACTTTTTCATCAAAAAAAGATGGCGGCGCCCAGCAACCAGCGGCCCGGTAGGACTTGTTCCGCGGACCGGTACCGGTCCGCGGACCGGTGGTTGGGGACCCCTGCCCTACGGTCATCGTCTCCTTTTCATGACCCCCATAATCCCTTGTGGGGTGGACTCTGGGCAGCTGAATGGAGTAGAGAGTGTTTACTGGCCGGATGCCTTTCCTGTCACCAAGGCAGAGTTTTGTTCAGCAAATCTATTCTCAATGTGCCCAGAGAGAAAGAAATATCTGACTCTATCTAGGATCAAACCCACAGCCTCCTGGTTGTAAGGCGAGAGCTCCACCTCTAGGCCACCGCACCACTCTGTGGGATCCCTACGGGTCACATGATCAAAATCCAGATGCTTGGCAACTGACTCATAGTTATGACAGCTGCAGGGTGCCAGGGTCACATGATCCTTTTTTTTGCAATCCTCTGGCAAGCCAAGCCAATGGGGGAATCCAGAGTCACTGAACAACCGTAGTGATCTTAAGTGATTCACTTAACGGTGGCAAAAAAAAAAAGGTTGTAAAATGGGGCAAAACTCACTTAAGACCTGTCTCACTTAGCAACAGAAATCTTGCACTCCATTATGGTCATAACTCCAGGACGACCTGTATTTATAAGCAGGTATCAAAACCCCGCGTCCCCCTCTCCCTGATGATGTTACCTAGTTGGGTAATGAAACGTCTGTTAAGCAAACCACCCAGCTCAGAGAGCACCAAGGACTCCAGAGAACGTGGGGAAGGCTGAGCAGGGGAAGTGGTTCATTTCCTTAATGTGAGTTGCCTCTAGCCAGGATGCTCTTAACCTGTGCGGGGCCTGGATTTTTGACGCCTTTCTCTGCCTCTCCCCAGTATGGAATCAAAGCCCTCGATAAAGTCCTACGAACCATCTTCCAGCAGACTGAGAGCAAAGTCCCCGTGCCAAAGATCTATCAGGAAGGAGATGCGGCTTTTTTCAGCGGTAAGCAAGGATGGGGTGGAATATAATGTTAAGAAAGGCGAGGACAACGCTGATCTTTAGCTATAGCGAAGGATGTTAGCTCCCAGTTTGAAATCCAGCAGATTCCCGCCATCTAATCAAACCTTAACCTCGAAGAAGGAGTTCAGGGGTCATTGCAACGGAAACTTATCAAGGAGAGAACCAACCAAAGGGGAAATTTCCAAACACTTAGAACAATTAATCAGTGGAACAACCTACCTCCAGAAGTTGTGGATGCTGCAACACGGGAGGTTTTTAAGAAGAGATTGGACAATGTATAGGGTCTCCTGCTTGAGCAGGGGGTTGGACTAGAAGACCTCCAGGGTCCCTTCGAACTCTGTTATCCTGTGTTCTGTATCCCATGCCATATCTGAGGATTTTGCAATTGGAGGCCACTATCTGCTAGAATACATCCAGCCAAATAAATGTTGTGTTTCTGTTTGTAGAGAAAGATGGTTCTGCTGCCAAAAAGCTTTGATTGTAAATAATAACAATAACTATTATTATTATTATTTAATCTTTAGTGAGGTTCACAGCCTTTGGGGCTGGTTGGTAGCTCAACAGCTCGAGTCCTAACCAAGGACCTAGGAACTGTTCAGGTAGTGTCGGAGGATATAAGATGTTCCAAGTTTTTGTTGTTGTTGTTGTTGTTGTTGTTGTTGTTGTTATTATTATTATTATTATTATTATTATTATTATTATTATTATTATTATTATTATTATTATTATTATTATTATTGTAATGATTAGGGGGGAAAGTATCTTCCCATTTCAGCCACACAAATACATGAAGGTTGGGGACTAGACATAATTCAGGATTCCAGTCAGTGGTGGGATTCAAAATTTTTTACTACTGGTTCTGTGGGCATGGCTTGCTGGGCATGGCTTGGTTGGGCTTGGTGGGCGTGGCAGGGGAAGATTACTGCAAAATCCCATTCCCTCCCCATCCCACTAACCTGCTTTCCAGCTCTGTTTTCCTGTGCAGGGCAACCAAAGGAGACCCAGCCGATCAGCTGGGACTCAATGGGAGGCAGAGAAGAGATGGGGACGGGGCCAGTCAGAGGTGGGATTTGTCGGTTCTCCAAACTACTCAAAAATTCTGCTACCGGTTCTCCAGAACTGCTCAGAACCTGCTGAATGCCACCTCTTGATTCCAGTGGTTAAATGATTAATGACAAACTCTGAGGGTTAGTCAAGAATATGTCCCCAAACTAATGGCATCTCCTTCCTCGCAGAATTCTTGAATTGATTGAACTAATCAAGGAAAGAAACACCCTGCAATTCAGGAGAAACTTCCTAACAGTGAGGACAATTAACCAGTGGAACTGCTTGCCCCCAGAAAATTGTGGGTGATCCACAATTTGGAGGCTTTTAAGAAAAGGGTTGGGCAGCCATTGGTTCAGAATGGTATAGGATCTCCTGCTTGAGCCAGGGGGCTGGACTAGAAGACCTCCAAGGTCCCTTCCAGCTCTATTGTGATTCTGATTGAGACTTGATTGAAAACCCTTGCTTGGTTTTTGAGGCCGTTTCTAAACGCCGCCTTATAGTTAATCCACACGGAAATTCACTTTAATACGTCTTGCCGACCACCTGCTCTCCATCTGTTAAAATAAAATCTGGGTTTTCAGAAATGAAGCAGTCCCTCCTCTCCGTGGGAATCTCTTGCAAGGAGATGCGATACGGCTTCATGACCATGGAGAAAGGTAAGCTACGCACACCCTTCCTCTCCGTTTACTCGCCTTTAGACTCTGTTCTACGTGGCGGTTCTCGTCTCTGCTTATCTCGGCCTGCGGTATGAGCCAGGGGAACGTTATAATTGTTCTGACCCAAGACCATGAAGCAGACTCCTCGTTCCAATAAAACCCCTTTTATTTAGGTTAAAGGGAATTCCTCTCCGGCAAAGTCCCGGCAAACAGTCTTTCATGAGATTTCACAACGAAAGACCTTTATCAGGCTTGGAGAGTTGCCAGGCCGATATCTTCCAAACACCATGCTGTAGCAGCAATGACTTGGCAAGAAGTCAGAAACAGATCTTCCCCCTAATGAATTGAACGAATTGTCTCCTGCAAACACCACTCCCCATTCGCTCCTCTCTTATTCCCCATGGGAGAGGCCATTCACCGTCCAGCTGAGCCTTTACTTCCGAGTTAACCCTTGTTCCTTAGCTGATCCCTTCTCCTGGCAGCTCTGTGCATGCGCACACTGGGAACAGGCTCCAGCTGTTCTTCTTCCCCTCCGATCTCCGACTGCAAAGGCAGCTGATAATAATTGTCAGACGACCCTGGCCCCATCTCTACCTCCGATGCAGAGCCCTCGTCTCAGCCTTCCTCAGCCTCCAGGACTGGCCCAGGTTCCTCCCCAACCTCCTCACTGTCTGAGTCTGCCCCTTTAGTTTGATTAGAAGTCATCTCCAGTTCTTTGTGAAAACTCAACGCTCTTTCTTATAAGTAGGGGGGGGAAAATCTGACCTTTCAGTTCCCACATATTTCGAAAGAAAACTTAGACAGAACTTTGAGTGAGAAGACTTGCCATGCCAACTGCAGCATTGATCACAAATTTGGAGGGTGCGGGACAGCCACGCGTGGTCCCCCCACGCCTCGTTTTTGGCCTCCATGGCCTTCTGCAGCACTCTGCTGGCCGAAAAGGAGCCACGTGGGGGCCTCGTGAGGTACCACAGGCCGGTCCTTTGATATTTCCAGGCCGGTTCTGCAGGCCAGACTTAAGCATCCCGCAGGATGGATCCAGTCCATGGGCCTTGAGTTTAACACCCCTGGTCTACGTGCATACACACAGTGTGTGTTAAGAGATGCCGACAAACTTCTCAGACCTGAGATTTAGATAAATCTTTGTGAGTCAGGAAACTTGTTTTCCAAGATGAACTAAATGCATGATGTCCTTTTCTCTGCCTTCCTTCCTTCCTTCCTTCCTTCCTTCCTTCCTTCCTTCCTTCCTCACAGACTGTTCCATCACCAAGTTCCTAAATCGCATGTTGGGCCTGGAGGTTGACAAACAGAATCTGCTCTTCCAGTACTTCAATGACACTTTCGACTACCTGATTGAGCGGGACAAGAAAGATGGCAAATACGACATGGGGATTCTGGGTAAGCGGGAGGCTCACGCCTGAGTTGGCAAAACCTGCAGGCTTGTCGTATTCTTAGTTAGAGAGATTATGTCATGAATTACAAACTTATGAGAGTCCGCGGTGTTCCTTCCGAGGAGATCAGTTGAGGAAGAAAGTAAAAAAAAGATAATTCTCCATATTCAGAAAATATTTGGGATAAGGATAGAGATTTAAAATATTCTTGGGCCTTGTGTCAGAACTGGGAGTTTCTTTGAACGGTGTTTTTCAATCTTAGCTGCTTGAAGAAGGGTGGACTTCAAGTCCCAGGATCTCCCAGCCAGCTTTGTAGAGAATGGCTGGCCCAAAGTCACCTAGTTGGCTTTCATGCCTAAGGCGGGATTAGAACTCAGTCTCATGACTTCTAGCCCAGCACCTAGAAAGTTTAGGCTGAAAAACAGCTTCTATCCCAGGGCAGTGGCTCTGTTGAATTCTACTGTACAGTGTAGCGTTGGTGCAGTGTCCGGGGTTTTCGATTCGGTGTGTGGAGTTTGAAGGAGGCGTGTTTGTGTTTATTTTCATGGTCGTGATGTGCACTGAAGGTGGTGTTTGATTTCGTTGTACGAGATGCAATGACAATCAAGTAAACCTTAAATTAAACCTAATAATCATTATAATTCAACCTTAAAGGCCTGGAGACTAAAACTTACGATTGCAGGATTTGGGTTGCTAAAAGGAGACTAAAACTTACGATTGCAGGATTTGGGTTGCAGGATTTGGGTTTGGATAGTCTAGAGAAAAGAAGGACTGGTGGTTATAGGATAACAGTCTTCCAGTATTTGAAGGGCTGCCCCAAAGAAGAGGGAGTCAAGCTATTCTCCAAGGCCCCTGAAGGCAGGACAAGAAGCAATAAGGATGGCAACCAATCCAGGAGAGAAGCAACCTAGAACTAAGGAAAGATTTCCTGACACTTAGAATCAGTGGAACAACCTGCCTCCTGGAGGTTTTCAAGAAGAGACCGGACAGCCACCTGTCTGAAATGGGACAGAGCCTCCTGCTTGAGCAGAGGGTTGGACTAGAAGACCTCTAAGGTCCCTTCCAGCTCTATGCTGAATTGAACTGAATTGAACTTTGCCTATTCTAAGTCAGATGACTTGGCGAAAGGGGCGGGCTCTCAATTTTTGATTTTGCAGCCCCGCCTACATTGCAGCCTTACACACAACTACTAGACTGGGGCAGTGGAGGGGAGTTGCGACAATGGCCCATACTTGTGTATGTCGGGGGGAGGGAGTGACAAAACCGGGGGAGCTTTCCGTCCGCGTGTTTTGTTTGAGCTCCCCTCCCACCTGAGGTATCCCCCTTCTCATTCTCACTGCCTTCTCCGTTCCTCAGACTTGGCTCCGGGCATCGATGAAATCTACGAGGAGAGCAAAGAGGTTTTCCTAACGCCAGGCCACCCACAAGATGGCCAGGTGGTCTTTTACAAGGTAAGACTTTGCGGAAGCGTTCGTGAATCTCTTCTTTGATTAACGCTCCATTTTGTTTCTTCTGACTTGGCTGCCTCTTACAAGCCTCCGACTGGAATTTTCCTAGCTTTGCCTGGTGGTGCATTGGATCT